GTGATATAAGAACTAAGTTAAGCAATATATACTAATATATCATTAATTAAGATATAAAGATATCTCAGAAATGAAAGTTAGAAAAATAAATAGACTATGAGAGAGTCTCTGTATATTATAACACAATTATCCCACTGATTACAATAGATCCGTATTGTGTGCCATCCAAGAAATGTTATTTGGTTTTAAAGTGGTGCAAGTCAGTTTTAGACAATGCATACAATCTTTTAACTGATCAATTGATTTCTAAGTCAGTCTATTTTTCTGCATAGCATCAGTCCTTGTGTCCTCTTCTCTGTGCAGAGAGAGCGGGTAAATACCCTGCAATGAAGTATAGTATCAATTATGTAGAGTCGCTTTCTTTTGAAGAATATAAAAGCTCCTCACAAAGACTGGACATAATTATATCATCAAAAAGAATGTCTGGTAATCTCTTTATCAAACATTACCATCAATTAATAGGCTGCCGATTCAACGACACGTATTACATATCAACCAGATGCATTTATTGAAGATAAGTCAATAGTTTATAAACACAGCATCTTGGAGCAGTCGCATCTCAATTCGACAGTCAGTTGCAATTATTTTTTTTTTGCAAAACCTATTACAAGTATAACATGTATAAGGCTTAATCAAAGTCATACGCGAAACAACTTTGACCATGATAATAACATCATGTTTTTGTATCAAACCAGCATCCCCATTCTGAGAAGTTTCAACTTTTTAACATTTTTACCATGAAGAAAGTATGTAATTTCACATTGTTTTATATGCTTTGACTATATCAACTAAACATGTTCATCATTTAAGTTACCACAAGTTAAGAGTCGACATCACTTTAACAATGATAACGGTTCTTGTGCGAGTATTTTTATAAAATAAAAAATTCGTTGGTTTATGAAATTCGAATGTGAGTTAACAAAAGAATGCACCATATGGCCTTCATGAGAAAACAGTGTGAAAGAAATACAATGTAGTTGCTACTGATGCAAGATACATCGCTGGTAAAACAGCAAATATTGCTGAAATCTCATAACATGAAATATGATAAACGTAGGAGTAAAATTTGTACAAGAACTGCTACGAAATTAGCAGAAAAAGCACGCGTGCAATGAGAGGAAATTTTTCGCTAAACAGTTTCCAAATATAAATGCACGTTATTTCACAGTCATCATGACGAGACTTGTTTCAATATTTTAGCCCAAATTAAAGATTGTTGTAATGTATGAACAAAAAAACATGTAATTATTGCAAAGAGGACTGTGAGTGTCAAAAAGGTAATGGATGTGACACGTGGTCATCAACACAAAATTATAAACTAATTATTTAAAAAACCGCCCCGTAAAGACATTGCTTAACGTGCTGATTGGACACAACCATCAATGTGCTTTATTATTAATCCAGGAATGACAGCTTTCTTGACCAAACACGACTTTTTATAGGAAATTCTCTAACAGTGTGGTGATCTAGATCTTTGACCTTTAAACTTGGGTCATGCAAGCAACGCATCCATCTCCATGTGCTACACATTAATAACAAATTTTATCATAACACATCAACAAAGTGACAGAAATAAAAAGCGGACAGACAGAAAAAATGATAATTCAGAAACTATATATACAATCGTTTGGGGCATTAGAACGAAGTCTGGCCGGTTTTCGCCAATATTAGATTGCTGTATGAGCCATTGAAGGAATGGTCCAGAATTATCCTGTTTCTTTATATGTCTGATAATTTCCATGTTATCTCCTACTTAAAGTTTAATGTTAGTTTTGTTTGGTTTGGTTTTACAGTGACAAACAAACACAATTAAGGTCAATGAAGCCGAAGCAGGAAGGGTGATATTGGCTTACCTCGGGTTTTACAAACTTAAAGCAACACCAGGGGTTAAAACGACCCTACCTGCTGGATAAAAAAAGGCAAACACTCCAACCCATTTTATCTATTTACACTAAAATGATTTTATTTTTTTTATTTTTGTAACTGTCGAGTAAATGTCGGTCCGCTTTAATTACCATGGTAACGCCAAATTGGCGCAGACGCAGGTAATAAATCGCGACGTACGTTTGATGATACACAAAGTGCCTAATACAAACATAGATCTATCTTGTCAAAATTTGCTGGAGTTAAACCTGAAATTATACATTTAGACTTCATTTCATTTTAACGTTGGTTCTTATGAAATCAAGTTTCAAGGACTTTATGTGCAGTGTTATTTTTTATCGAAAAAGGGCGTCATAAAAACGCATGAAAATCGACGCCATCATAAACATTTGAACATTTGTCAAAAGGCACCTTTTGTACATCAGTACTCCAACGCTCACCTTTTATACAGTGACGAATTTGGAGAAATTATATTTTCCAGCCTTTAGAATATTGTTATGCACTAATTTTCGAAAATAAAAAATATTCTAAATCATATCACTATGATATTATGATAATTTCCCAGATAAAGTTGGTGATATAATTGATTGCTATTGGGCTGTGTTCACTATCTGCTATCCTAACATCAAATAAGTGTCGCTTTGTAAGTTGTGTCACTACGGTAAACAAATGTGTAAGGCAAAGGTTTCCTGGTATTGTTGTCACATTCATCTGAAAATTCATTTTAACATATTCCTTTAGGAAATCATCCTTAATGTATGATACAATCGCATACTCGTGCTGTATTCATTAGAAGCAATGAAACAAAGCAAAATCAGATAAATGTAAAACGTGTTTCTCTTAAATGACAAAATGTATTCAGGAGTGTAACGGCTGGTCGAGTCATAATTGCCAATTAGTTATTTTATTGTGGAATCAATAGCTGTGGGTTGTTTATTGTTAATAGAGTATTCTTCTTTGTATAATTTTTTGTTATTTCAAAGGGTACTTTTGTAATTTCTTACCGTCCTTTAGATCTCAACTGATACAATTGATTTAGTAATACTTGTGGTAAGTTAGATACGGTATATTGAATTAATTGGATTATTTTTTAAAGATGTAAATATCTTTCATTTTTCCTTGTTTATTTAATCTAAAATTTATATAGGATTTTACGCTATGAATTTAAAAATGTGTCAAATGGATCTAGAATATGTAAATGTTGAGATTTATTAAGTTACTTTATGTTGTTATATCGAATAACAGCCAATTACGTAACTGTATAGATATAAAAGTAAAAAGTACAATATTTATGACTTTTGTTAAAATGTTATCGGAAACAGAAAGTACAAATGACATACCTTATGATGAAACGTCATACGTAATTGAAGGCAATTGGTTGTGACTGTCAAACATATTTTTTCAATAATATACAATACTTTTTAACATACTTCAAATATATTATAGAAAGATTACACACGCTTGTTTACATTAAAGGTTACGTAGTAGACTTTCTTTAATCAGTATCATTTCCTAGATGATTATTGAAAACCAGTGAGGTGTTCCAAACGCTATTTCTATTGCTAAAATGAGGTTGAATTTTCAGAAGATACCAATAACATATTGCACAACTGACGCAATACATTAATTGATATATGAGGTAACAATGATTTTTTTTAACAAATTGAAGTATAATATTCCTTTTTTAACACCATCAAAAACAAACATGACATAATATAGCTTGCCCTAATGAAACACACATTTGTTAAGTTGCCTTTCAGATAATTAAATTGAGAAGACTATAGAGTACAGAAAACAATCATCTGCGTGTTTATATACATTGCACAAGATAATATCTGAATATAAAGATACTAATTATAAGATGCAATTATTCTTTGGTTATGTACTAAAATTACAAAAGACGTTTAGTCTGTATGGTCCATTAGTGTTTCAAAAGTGTTTATAGACAGGATAATCAAGTTTGTAATTTTAGACAATAATCACAGTATATTGCAGTAAGGGCATATAAAGTATTTCCTTCCTTTGATATAGACTGTAAACATTTTTAAGTCAATCATATTAAAGTAACCAAATGATTTGTATCTTGAAACATATGAGTCTAATGCATTCTTGGACTTTTCGAGTCAATATTCCAATATTGACATGCATGGCAAGTCTTTTTTGTTGTTTTATGTACGTGTGTGTTTTTTATTCATTTAAAATTAATTTCAAATGATTTTGTGACGTTTGTTTACATGTTTTACCAAGCACAAAGTGCAAAACTGTCCTTAAACCATAGGATACTAGCCGTCAATTAGAAAAAGAAAGGATGGATAACAGTCGTTCTACCACATCTATCATTATTGAAATTTTGATTATTTACAGACAAAAATGATATGAAATCGAGTTTGCTTCTAAAGTCTCCGTTTTTGGAACGGGAGATTACTTATTGGTGAAAACTACGTATGACAGCATTATATTGGCAAAAAGAAAATGTATATAAATATGCCGGCATACGAATGTTATATTATATACGATATTCATCTCAGAAATGTCAGTAGGTATTACCGATAATGTAATGGTAAAATATAAGAAGACATATCCCTTTTAATCTCGTATTTTGATTACATTTCCCTCTTCGTATAAAATGACATGGCATAAATAAATATATGGACTACCTACAGACTAACATTATAACATATACAATTGTGGGTCCAAACTTTCGAAATTGTTTTAACTATTTACACAAATATTTTCTTTTAACGCATAAACTGCTAACTTATTTTAGCACGCCAATCTTCACGCGACAAGAGTCATTTTACCACTTTTTGATAAGGAAACTATTTGAAAATTTGACAGTAATTGGCATTCTAGGGATTACTTTGGTGTTCTATTACTGCATGTTCAGCCTGCTGACATCAACAGTTAAACATCTAACATGTTCTATATCCATTATAAAAACATCATAAACACATGTTTGATATTTCAAAAGAATTTTATAAACATATTTCTGAGGCATATTGTGTTTATAAACAATATGGTGGTTACCAGAAAATAACAAATCAACTGATTTTAACATATTTATTTTACATTTTATCTAAAATATCAATATTTACATTTTGTATTGACAAGTTTATTGAACGATATGAAGAAAAGAAATATGGAACAATTTGAATGTCATTTATAAAAGAAAAGCAAAACAAAATGTAAACATAATTGTCGCCAAGTTTATGAAAAGTATAATGATTTTTTTAACCATTAACATAAAACCGTTGTTTTTTTCATGTATAACATCAGAAATTGTTCTCTTTATATTGTCTTCAAATTATATTTGAAAGTTGAGTTGTCTTTTTTTAAATGTCAATGGTAACTAGATTCGACATTCTTTTTTTCTTATTTCATTTGTAAGAAAATATTTTTAATCAAGCGGTTACGCAATATTTTAAATCTCCGTCTCGAAATCACTTCCATGTATTTGATGTAATCTGGTATCACGATCTCTGCTTATAGTCTTACGCACTGAACATGGACTCAGAAAAACTTTCTGTTTCTCTGCTGATCTTGCAGTATCCATTCCACATAATTTTCCCAGTATTCTCTTCAACTCGGTTCTAAATACACCACTCATAAAAACATATATGAGAAAAATGACCAAATATGTAACATATTGCCATAATAGAAGGATAACCGATAAACAACCATACACATCCAATGGCAAAGAAGCACCAGCATGTTTTACCAGCACATAAGTATTATAAATTGCCAAAGGAATTTCGTGCAGAGATATAATTGCCGCAACCATAAAAATTAGCCATGATGTCATGTGACTTTCTCTGTCGAGTCTATCAAACGCAGAATCAACACTTTTAGTGTTTGTCTTTCCGAATAACTTCTGCTTTGCAGTGTCTCTACTGGATGAACTGCAAGATTGTATTTGATTTTCTAAGACTATTTTAATTTTTGGGTTTTTATTATTAATGTCAGTTATATCAACAGGTGTTGTTTCATTTATTTCGTGATCCTGTTCCATGTTTTTACGTTTAAATAATCGTGATATACTTGTACCTATGCGGTTTTGTTGACGCTGCATTCCTCTGTTACTTGATTCATTCTTTTTTATTGAATCCTTTGTATTACGGCGTCTCAATGACCTACGCCGTATGATTGCTTCCTTTAATGTTAGTAAGATAACGAAATCTAAGTACACCAGAATGAAACAAGGAACGATGGAATCTAATAACGTTTCAGTGCAAAACTGAACTTTTCTTGCTATATTTGAATTGTGAAAGATAAAGTTCGACTCTTCTATGACACACATTTGTTTTGTAGTGTTTGAATCCGAGTCGCTGGATGTGATTGAAGAAAATTCAAATAAAAATGCCGATGGCATATGGGTTATAATCGTAAAGGCTATAATAAAGATAACATATATGGCAACTTTCTTAGAAGTGTGAAGCTTGTGCGCATTAAAGGGATCCTTTAAACATCTACAACGTGTATAAGCCAAGAGAACTGTCAGCCACAAGGATAAAGCGTTAAAAAATTTAACAGAAACGATACCTAATATGTAGGTCAAGGAACACATCTGGTAGGTAACATAATCTTTGTAGTGACCTAGAGTGTAATAATATACACAGAAATACGTAGGAAAAGTAATGTTTAGTAGGTCGGTTATAGCAATTAATGTTAGTAAGAAAGTAGTGTGAGATCTCACGCGTTTTTGAAGGAAAACAAACACAGCTAAAATGTTTATACCAAACACCAGAATAGATAAAACTGGAAAAACGTATGCCTCAATAGGAACGATTATATGCATGCAGTGTGAACTAACGTCCTTCAGCCGAAATGGTGCTCCAAATTCGAACGTATTGTTCATCGTTTATAAAACTCCAGTCTTGTTTTTGCGTCTCCAAATGATAATATTCTATTGTAAAATCCGCATTTTCTTGTAATTATCATTCTAATTATTTTGTTTCTCCGAATGTTGACGATTTTTTCTTCACATATAATTCATTTTTGCACTTCATTAAACCGTAAACTCCTTAATACTTTTAGTCAATTTACGATTATTACATATGCAACTGAATGTGAAATCTTGGCAAAAGATGAACAATATTGTATACCTTTGTCAGCTTGCTGCTCAAGATTTTTAATTATTCGAAAAGTCTTTGTTCCTGGGTAATCCATGCATGTTCTACGCTAAAATAAAAAATAATAATAACGAGTCTTCTCTTCTTGAACATTTATAAAAAATATATCCAACGACATTCAAGGTAATGTCATAATTCATATTGAATACATATCCCTCATTATATTACACTAGATTACAGAACTGACTACCTGAAAATCAATAATGTTTTCAATAGCAAAGTTATATTTATCGTATAGTGCATTTGGGGAACGCGCATTTTCCAATATACAGCTAGCTCTACAGTAAAATTATCTGTGAAACAAGTGCACATGTTGCTGCAATGCAGCAACTGAGAAACTTATAGTTGGACTACAGGTTGTTAGTGGGATGAAAAAAATATGCATAATGTTCACTGAGGCGCTTGAAAAAAAAAAAGACAAATGTGCTATCGGCTTAAGCCTGGCAAAACCTTTATCTGATTTAATTTTCAAAACTGAAGTATCGCATATATCTACACCTTTCATTTATCCCATTGCAAACTTCTTGATAATATGAATAAATTTTAATATTATCTTAAGACAAAGCCAACCATAACTTACAAATATATAAAGTTAGCTAAGGTAAACACAAACAATATCAGATAAATAAAAGTATTTCAGTACATGTATTTGTTTTTGTCTAACATCTATTTGTACATACAATATATGATGGCATAAATTCATAAAAGGGCTAATTTAATCTATTTTGTTTGCGCACACCGAAATTAATTTAGCTTTAATGATGAAAAAACAAGGCGTCCCGCAGTGCAATACTATGTTGGGTTTAGATATGCAGTGCGTTATCGTTTCTATTTTTATAGGTTTTTTTTGATATTTACGCATTTACTCGAATATTTTTCAATTAACTTTCAAGTAAATAAAACATTTTTGCTTAAATCGGATTTTTCAGGATTTTCCCCTTTTAAAACCCTTTTAAATATTCATTTTTCCCTCGTTTATAATAAATGATAACACTAATATTACAAACGTACGGAATAGAATAAGGAAAAACAAAGAAATATATAAATCACTAATTATGATAAATAGTTAGAGAAATTATGACTTAAAATGTCTCAATAAGTATTTCATCCCCAAAAATATCGTCGTGTGAGTTATACTGGCATGCGAGCAGTTCCCGTACAGAAGCAGTACCCGTATTTTTCATTTAAACGCTTGATTTTTACATGCATTCTTCAAAAATTCATTTCAAATCAAGCAGATACATAAACGAGACAAAATCTAAGTGTCAGTTCGGCAGTACGTATAAAAAGTCTCATTTTAAATCACTTTCACCTGTGCGTTATCAAAACGTGACCTTGTTTTATCTGGGGGATTCCGTCCTTGCGCGCATGCGCAAATATACTTACACGTGAGGCATGTTAAAGGGTTTTCCACTAATACCACTAGTTTACAGATAAGAAGGCAATGTTAGGAAAACTTGTTTAATTATCAGAATTTTTACCAATATTACTATATAAAATAATTTTATGGCTTTGATACGTAAAATATCATGCATACAAGCATGCCATCGCATGTGAATGCGTTGGGGGTAACGGTACCGGATAATAGATACACGCATTTAGTCTGCTTTCTATTTCCTGAATTACATCTATTTATCTCTTAGAAAATGGTCTGTTCAACAATTATAAATGAAAAATAGGTCCGATATAATAAAATTGTATAATTATAATGGGTTAATTTTTATGTACGGGAACTACTTCTCTTCATACAAAAAAATGGATAATTTCTGTACCCCATATGAGGCCTCATAAGTAAGGGTTATTCTATGTTTAGAACATGATGGAATTTCCATGATTTGTGTGACGAGCTGAATATTGGTGTGTAACATTCAAATTTTGGTGAGTGAGCGTAATAAAAAATGATGTTTAAGTAACTACGATTTTTGTACGGGAACTGCTCGCATGCCAGTATAGTTAACAAATGTACCCTCGCAATCACGTATAAATGAGATGTCTGCCTATCGAAGCATCATAATTACAACAATATTGAACTGTCGATAAGTAGTCTCCTAGTAATTCCGAATGTCGTGATTTATCAAGGAATCATATTTCAAAACAGGCGGCCATCAATATCTTACGATATCTCGTATATTGTAAAATCATGGAACTCTTTATTCGACACGTGACACTGCATTATATGAAGAGACAAGTCAGACTTTTTATAATTTAGTCCAAGATTTTTTGCGGATTACCTATAAACTTTCTGTCTCTCCTGCTTTCTTAATTTCTTGACATTTTCTATGAAATGGGCAATGTTTCCCTTGTCATTTCTTACTAATCTATTAATGAGGCAATTAATGAGGTAGAATAGTCATTTTCATGAAAGAAACACACAATGATGACCCAGCATATGTTATTTTCTTAAGAAAATAGGATGTGATGACTGCAAGTGCGTAGTCGTTAGATGTTTATATAGTTTAATCCATACATTCACAAAATTTCTTGACAACTACTAGTATTTTACAATATCTTGATGTCATTTGTGTTGTTACATTACAAGCTCCTTTATCTTCTTTTTTGTTTGTTTTTGTTTCTCTGTCCTAGCAGCCTCAAATTCCAATGACAAAGTTAACTGTTAACTAAATGGTGCGTAGTTTTGCCTACTTTATGAAATACTTTAATGTACAAAGATAACGGCGACAATAATACCAATTTCTTATGAAGCGTTTGATGGTCTTTCTGTCTTTGTTCATACATTCACTTTAGCACTATATAAACAAATATTTAAACAAGTGACGTTTTTTAATTGGATAGCCAAACCTAGTCTGAAACATTTCAAATTTGTCGTGTTAGGCGACCATTCAAGTTCCCATTTTAACTATTTTCAAGAAAGGAAATGATGTTTTAAATAAAGTAAATATCTTTGAGATAAAGAGTAAGACAAAATAGGTTAAAATTCTTGAAAAAGAAAAACATTCACTCGTAGAGACTGCATGATGCGGATGATAACAATATAAAATTTATAAAACGTAAATTTTGAAAATAGTATAAAATATCAATGAAGTCTTATAAAGATTAATGTCAGATGGAACAAAGTGCCAAAAAAAAAGGATCAGATTGAATTGTGATAATGCAAATGTATTAAGTGTATTAAGAATTTATTTTAGTCAGATAGTGTAGGAAGCTATTAGCTTTAAGACACTCCTGGAAACAAAACAGTACTGAGCAATGTGTGTTAACTTTCTTGCTCTATGAAACAACAGCGTGCGCATGTCGGGTTTGAAGAACCAACGTGGCTACAGCTAGATCATAAGAATGTCTTTGATAATAGCGGTTCATCATTAAATATTGTTAACGAATTTTTCAGGCTCAGGATGTCTAAAAGCCAGGAAAAGTAAGTTTCATATTAATGTATTGATGAATGTGTTGTACCAGTTACCCTGCACCTAGATGACATGGAGCCTCAGGTCAAATGCGTGTTGCGCTCAAATGCAAGGGTTGGAGGAGGTGGATATTAACAATAAGGTGATAGACGTAATTTACACTATAAGTATCGGACTTGGCAGCTGCTCCAGCACCAAATGATTCAGATATACAGGTGAATGTGCGTAGATATGAGAAAAGCCAATAAGCAATTAAAATTGAAAGAACTGTTAGCCAAAAGATCGAAAATGAGCAACTATGTAACTGTCTTTCCGCACCTTTGTTTATACAAAGCTTATCATCAAATTGAATTGATAAAACGTCTGAATTTTCTAAAATGAATTTTATCAAGCATATTTTGGTAAAACGCACAAAGAACATGAAGTCAGTCACCGAGCCTTATTCCAACATTTGCCAGACCTCTTGACATTGAACAGGAAATTCGCACAATCAAATATCAAAATTAAGGGATATGTTTTTTCCGGTATGATTCCGGTATTTCTTTATCTAATCTAAATGCAGTGAAAACAGTCAAGTTTGACGGAACATTTTAGCTGCCGTAAGAAATAAATGAAATATCGACCGGAAAATCGTTTTCGTAACTAAGTAATAAATACACTAGACTAGTGACAAAGTCTATATATTATGTCGATCAAAGAAAGAAAACTGAACTCTGGGTCAACGGAAGCCCATAAGGATGCTAAGGAACTTATTGTAAACGGCACTACCTCGATATTAGTTGCGATATTTTGATATTCGGATATCCTGAACTTTAAAGAGCTCACTGAATTCAGATAATTCGCTGATAGCTCGAGATTCAAATATAAAAGGGTTACTCAATTGCGCCCTCTATGTAACACAATGATCGAGCAATTAATGGTACCATTGCACAAAAAAAATCAAAACAGCAATAGCATCTAGGATGAACAAAAAGAGTTTAGAGTAAACAAATTATGAATTTTCGCAACTCATCACAAAATTCAACACAGGAGAATGAATGTTAACCAAAATATAATTTTGGAATTGTTTTTGACAGAGACAGTCTATCTAAAACGTAGAACATAACTTATGCTGATAACAACCGAAGCGCTCATATAGCCTTTGAAACCGTGTGCTTTTAAAAATGTTATTTAGAAGAGAAAAGGGTTTAATATAAGACAGTGTATTATCCTGTCTCTAATTTAATAATCGCTAATCATTTATTTTAGCTTGCTTCATGAATTTTTAGACAAACGCTTAGTGTGTTTAAATATTACGTTACCGTGAACTCATTTCTTTCAGTTTCTTTCAAATACTTCTTTATTGGTTTGTGGGCTGTAAACTGAAAACAATACACAAGTTGTTTACTTTAGGCTTAAGATGTCTAACTGCAAAATACCATCAGAATTCTAATAGTGAGGACATGTTGATATGAAAGCGTTACGAGTATAGTATAAAGTTAAGCCTTATATACTAATACATGTATATCATTAATTTAAAAAATATCTCATGCAGAAATATAGCTAGAGAAATGGAATATGAGAGTGTGTCTGTATTTTATAACACATTTATTCCACTGATTACATTAACTACGTATTGTGTGCCAGCCAAGAAATGTTATTTGGTTTTCAAGTGCTGCAAGTCAGTTTAAGACAATACAAACAATCTATGAACTTACCAATTGATTTCTAAGTCAGTCCTATCCTGCATAGCATCAGTCTTTTTGCCCTCTTCTCTGTGCAGATAGAGAGCAGTCAAATGTCCTGTAATGAAGTATAATATCACTTATGTAGGATCGCTTTTTGAAAGAAAACAAATGCTCCTAACAAAGTCTGGACCAATAAAACTGTCTAGTAATCTCTTTATCAAACATTATCATCAATTAATATGCTTCCGATTCAACGACACATATTACATATCAACCAGATGCATTTATTGAAGATAAAAATCAATAGTTTATAAACACAGCATCGTAGAGCAGTCGCTTCTCAACTCGACAGTCAGATGCAATGTATAACCAAAATGTTGTTTCATACTCAAATGTATTAACGTAAGAGAAAGATCTGTGCTGAATTTATATGTCTGATAACTTCCATGTTTTCTTCATTAAATCTATACCTTTGTAATGTTCAATGTTTGTTTTGTTTTGTTTTACGGTGCACCAACAAAAATATTAGGTCAATTAATGTGATATGGCGCCAAAACAGGGAAAATGATTTGGCTTACCTGGAGTGTTACAAACTTAATTAAAGCAACACCAGGGGTCAAAACTACCTCACCTGCAGGTAAAAAACTACCTCACCTGCAGAAGAAGGGATGCATAGACTCCAGTAATTTGAACCTATGTCATCTACGTACACGGACAGTGTCGTCAAGTACCAAGTCAGTCCGCCTCAAGAAGGTTTCATATTTGTAATGTTAATTCTTTTTATTAAAACTTGATTCGTTTTATGTAAATCCCGTTGTTCAGAAATTAACTTCCAAACTGACTTACATTACAAGTCAGTGGTTATAGCAAGACGCTTGCTATGACACGACAATATTTGACACAGGTAGCATTCTCAATTTGAGGAAGATTTTGTGTGTGTGCATCTACAAATTGTTTTTATATCTACTTAATACCAACAAAGTCTTTTAACAGTTAAAGGAAGTCGGGAACTGTTGAAAATACAACGGAACTGCGATGTAATTACTAGGGCATAATATCAATACAGTCATTGAATTTAAGATTTTGAATTGACTAGCCCGAATTCCAGTTTTGAATTTATTCTTCTACATGTACTATTATTTTAACTAAATTTTCCTAAAATTTACACTGGCCCTAACTAATTTTCATTGCCCATGTGCCAGCGGGCCAGTGCTAAATTCGATGACTGTTAATAACAATAATTGTATCAGTATTGTTTATACCCATGGATGCTTAATAGTAGTCAGGCATTATGAAAAAGAACGACATGCTCATAATTTTCGTTCTCAAGTTGTGCTGAACTGACTATATTTTTCAAAAGATTAACTGTTATAATGTAAATTGACAAAAATCTCATATTGAAAAATGTTTAGGATCAAATATAAATCTGCCTAAAATATCTGCCCCGCTCTTTCTATAAATTGAAGGTTACAGGTGAAATACAATGGATATTTATAGAAATGTACTCTCGTAACTAGTAACCTGATCTATTTCTCGTTATCAAATTACAAGGAATTATGGTAAAAAGTAAATTAATTTTCAGTTTCATATTTTCACACACTATCTGCCCTAGGATAGGCATAACGTCACCTTAACTTCAATCGCAAAATCAGTTTTTTTTTCAGTTTATCTCCAAGTTAATACAAGTGTCTTCAAGTTAATACAAGTGAAAGAAAACAAAAATAATCACATTTTACACTACATTTATTAATCCCTCTTTGTAAATGCATATTTCAATTTAATTGTCATGCATAAGTTATATAATACCATCACCTAAAGAAACATACCTCGATTACATATATACTTCCCAACGAATCTTTAAGTAAAAAAAATAATGAAAAATTTAAGGTTGCCAAAGACAAGAAAAAATGAAAAGTTCAGTGCGCTCATGGACAGCAGTGGCTTATTTAAGAAACTGTCCAAGTTGTCAAGCACAATAATTAGCAGAATTTAACATACTGAATAAAAAATGGAATAGAATTTAGTACAATTACGAGTTAACAAATCTCGCCTGATAGCTAGTTTATGTATTAGCATAATGGTACAAAGTAGCATTCTTTCATTTTACATATTGTGGTCACTTTACCCAACTAAGAGTATAATCAAGGCATAAAAATAACATATTACTATAATTGCAATTATAAAACATTATTCGTTACAAATGCATGTTCTAAAACAAAATAGTTAAATACATGATTCTAAAAATACTTTAAAACATAAATCTTGTAAACAATTCTAAGGCAACTCCTTTAAAACTACACTAAGGCATGTTCTTAAAAACAACAACAAAGTCATGTACTAAAATCCAAAGGCATATTCTTATGAATTATTCAAAGGCATGTTCTTACAAATTTCTCAAAACCATGATTAAGAAAATAACTAAAAGGCATGTTACTTAATCAACATAAGAAATATTCTTAAAAAATATGCAAAAGCATGTGCCCTAAAAAACTCAAAACCATGTTCTTAACAAATAACTTAAAAGGCATTCCCTAAAAAATATTTTAATGGGCGTTCTTAAAACATTGATGTATGTTAAAAATGTCAGAAAAGCATTCTTTGATTGGTTTTATATAGCAATTGTGGGCTTTCAGTAAAAAATACAAAAATTTGATCAAAAGAAAAAGCCTAAAAAACCAAATTTCCCCTTTATTAAAAATTGCTAAAAAGCGTGCCCCTTAAAAATTACCCCTTTGGGTCAAAAAATGTTTTCAAAAATGTTATGGTTCATAAAAAAAAGGTACTCAAAAAACTATTTGTCAATGAAGCCCAAAAATGAATCATGTTATAAAAAAAAAACAAACAAATTGTTTTTTGTTTCTTTTTTAACCCCCTTTTTTGACAGTTTTTGGGGGTAGTTTCCAAACCCTTTTTCCCTGGAGAGTTTCAGTTGGAAAAAAAGACCAAACCTTGCCCCATGGCAAAACTACCAACCCAATTCTCCAGGGTTTTGAACCCCAACCCCAATGAGAGGTAAGGGGATTATAAAGTCATTAACCTTTACCCCTCGAACCAGGAGGGGGTTAAAACTACTAACGAAAGACATGGCCCTTGCAAATTGATCACATTTATTGCCCCAAAATTTTTTTAGAGGGGATGTATTCAGTATAAAAAATTAGTATGAAATGTAACAAAAATTCAAAGAAAATGATTTTTTCCTGATATTTTAAATCGCAACATTTTTTTGGTTTTTTCCCTCAACAAATTTCAAAATTCCGGAAAATTTTTCTCGAAACCCAATTGTTGTTTTAAAAATTTGCGGCAGAGTTTGGGTTTTTTTTAAAAAGAAAAAATTAAAAAATCTTTACTCAAAACATACGCATTTCATCGATGTTAACGAGGGTAGCAAAACAAACACACATGTACACTTATAGCTCCGCTGATTACACAACAAAAAAATCGTCAACAAAGTAAATATCTCTATGAAATTTTGATAAAACAAAGGTGGAGAAATACTAAATTTATATCAAAACTAAATGAGATCATTTCTGTGATAAAACATACAGGAATGAAAATTAAGATATCTAGCAGCATTTAAATACGACCCGCCTTTGGAAATAGGACCAGAAGTGGGTGTAAATATGTAATAAATTTGCTGTAGACGATCTATATTTAGACTTGCAACATAACCATTAAAAATACACATGCTGAATATAAGTGGGAAACAAATCCGGCACAATTAAGCTTGACATCAGGTATGGCAGATTTTATACGTTAATGCCATGTTAGAATCGAAATAATATATTCCAAGCAGTAATTTTATCACTTAATTACGCCCTTGGGATACAACAACCCTCATTCGAACTCAAAACAATAATTTTATTTAGCCAAAATCACTGTTGGGAATATTTCATTTCGTAAATAAATAATAACATAAAGACTAAACTATGACATGCTGCAGGCTAAATAAGTAATTTACAACATAAAAAGCAACAACCATGCAACAATGTGATATGGTGCAAGTTGAGCTGGGCTGTTATTTATATATATATATGTGCTGTTATTTATATATATATATATATGCTGTTATTGATATATACTAGGCAAAATTTATTTTGTGTTGTTCTTTTGACTTCAGTTTTTTTCTGTTTTCTTTTCTTTTTTAATGCCACTTTCGATACATTCATTTACACTTGAAACTATGAGAAACAAATATATTATACTTCACACATCATTATCAAACACAAGAGTATTTTTCATTTTGTCAAAACAATGTTTAAAATTGTAAATGTTCTAAAAATAAATCAAGCTTTAACAGGTTCTAATACGGAAATTATAAATACGTAAATGAGTATTTAAAAGCAAATAAAATAAGAAACTGAATAAATATCAAAAAAAAAAAAAAAAAGCAGTAAAAACATTTAAATTTTAAAAAGTCTTATCAGGGTTTAAAAATTGAAGAAAACAGAAGTTTTAAACCCACAAAAAATGAAAGTCTACAAAAAAGTCTAAAAAAAACTTCAAGAGGAAAATTTGAAAAAAATAAACCAAAAAATACGGAAAAATAAAAAAAAAACCAATGCAATCCCTTTCAGAAATTTTTTGTCAGTTTTGGCAGATAAACAATTTTTTTTAAAAAAATGAGGGAAAAAATTGGCTTTTTTTTAAAAAACGTTACTTTAAAATTCAAATTAATACTTTCTATTACCATTTCTCCACTAAAAAATTATATGAATAAAATTCTCGAAAACAGGCAGTCCCTCAAGAGCAATGGAAGTTTAAAATGAAAATACTTAAACAATATGTATACTTAACAATGGTAAATATCTCTATAACAATGAAGTATAAGCAATTAATTTCTGTAGAAGATAAAATATCGGTCACAATATATTGTGAATATAGTATATTGTGAATATCGGAGAAGACTACACGTACTTGTCAAAATTTGAACTTTGTTATTCACTTACTAAACAATCAACATCATTTTTTTACATGTTTCTCTGATTTAATTTAACAAAAATATATTTTTTCAGAATAATTATGTTAAGGTTTTTATGTTCCACATTGTTATACCAACATAGAGTAAACCTTGAAAACAGCTCAAATTTGTGGGTGGGCTATCTATATTAATTATCTGTCTTGAGATAACAAAATCTGTCCAAGCTGTAGGTTGCTCCATTTTTCTCAGTTCTGGAAGTATGATAAAAAAATAAAATCAGAGTAGAAAACAGGGCAAAGTTCCATAAACTGCTTCGCAGAATTACCTACCCTTGATAGTATACAAGTATTTGAAGTCCGACATAAACATCTGTGACAGTTTTTGAGAAATTTAGGAAATATAAAAAGGGAGATAATTAGCCAAAAATTACTTTCATAGCTATTTTCCCTTTAAAAATGCATTTAATTAAGCATTATAAGTAAGAAGAAAATATTTTTGATAGGTTTTAGAAATTAATCTTAACAGAAGGGTTAACCAGATCAAGAAATTAGGAAACAACTTTGCAACTTTGTGAAAAGGCATTGCATTCTAAATCAAGTTTAAAGGGACTCCGCTGAGGTTTTTTGACATGATGGGACTGAAAATATTTTTTTCCAGATAAATGTACCATTTGATGTAGGTGTAGAACCAACGAATTCTTTGAAACAAACTTTCAGAATCATTCCGCGGGACTTAGGGTTTTTCCCTAAAAAATTAAATTTTTCCAAATTGGTTAAAAAAAAAGACCCAAAATGAAAAACGTTTAAACGCTTTTTTCCCCTCAAATTAGGTAAGAAAAGCATAAAACTAATGATTTTCGATTTTTTTTTAAAAATATTTTCTTAAATATCTTTTCATAAAATTTTTTGTTTAAAGCCCCCAGTTCATTTATGTTTAAAAAAATTCTAATTTTTTTTTACTTTTTCCTTTAGGGGGTCCCCTTTAAAAATTGAATAGCCTTTAATGTTCAGAAATGGGGCTTTAATCTATAAAAGTTTTCAAATGGGCCCCTTCCCCCTGACTTTTTTGTGAAGCAAAGTAGAATTTTCAAAGGTAAAAATCCACTATTTTTTGGTTTTCAAAATAGTATTGAAGTAAATTAAAAGCATAAGTTAAAACTTTTTCACCAAAAAGGTAATCCAACAATGATGCAGACATATTAGTCATGTCAAAGGAAATGGAGCCTTTACAAAATGCAATTTCAATTAACAAGATAAACTTATATAAATGTCACAATATGGTTGAACAAAAAAGTTAAGTTTAGGGTTGAACTAAATACTAGTTTTACTGAACACTAAATAAACAAGCAATTATCATAGTATTGCAAGCAATCCATAAGTCCCCTACCGGTAAGAGCCCAAGCAACATTCTTAAGGGCCATTGGCCATTCACTTAGGTTCGTATTTTAAGTAAATTTGTTGAAAAAGTTCTTTAAAAGTGATCACAGGAAACAGTTTTTAATGTACAGACAGACGGGACTGAAGGACACTCTAAAGTTATTTTTAAACATTTCCCTGTTATCAAAATATAAAACATTTTTAAAATCCTATCATGATTGAAGAAGTTTTGGAGAGGTAAAAATTACCAATTTCTCAAAAAAAAGTCTAAGTTGTCAAAAAGGGCATAATTGCTGGAAAATAGTCTTGCTAGGGAGTATTGAACACTCACAATGTTGAGTGACAATAAGAAACATTTTGTATGAAGTTTGAAGTAGATATTTTACATTCAGAAAAAGAAGTTTATTAAAAAAAAACAATGTTTTTTTCATGAAAATTTAAAGTTCAAGGGAGGTAATTGCTGAGAATAAATTTTGTGCTAGAGTTTTGTAAACCTTGTCACATATGATGTGGTTGATGACAAGCAACTTATATTTAAAGTTTGAAGAAAAATACCTTAAAGAAAATAAAGAACTTAGTAGTTTGAAAAAACTTAAAAACTAGAATCAGAATCTTGAAATTCAGTCTATTCGTTGCCATAAGCATACGCGCAGAAATTTTCAACATAAATAAACAATTAAAAAACACCTTCAGCCAATATTTCTTATAATCTTTTTTTGATTATGAGTTTGCTGATGTTCAGTCACGCCTGGTTTAAAAACATTGTGTTCTGACACTAGGCTTATTTGAAGAAAATTTAGGGGTGTGTTAGTCAAAACAATTATTTGAATCGAAAAGTAAGTGACAATAACAGGTCAAACGACCAAAGTGTACAACAAAGGTTTGGAGTGAAAATTAAAAATAGTTAAAAGTAATTACAGTTGTGACAAAGTATTTCAAATTATTGCTGATTTTTTTTAAAACAATAAAACAAGTAGCCGGACTTGTATGTATAATGTGTAAAATGTATAATGTGTAAAAACAAGCATTAAAAATTTACTTAGTAAAATTATGTCATTAATCAAAGGGCGTGGAATGGGGTGTAACTAAATAAAGATAAGAGTATAAACTATAAATCTAGAATTTGTGCATGTCACATTTGTTTAAAATTATGTAAAATATACATTACATCTACAGAGTACAAATATGTCTTTAAAGACCACCTTTAGCTTAATAAAAACTGGTCAGAAAGATATTTTTTCAAACTGTGTCTAGGTATATAACCCTGAACAACAATAAAAAAAAATATCAACATAACACCATCATTATTGGTCCTCAATAACAGTTGGTCTATATTCAGAGGTGGTCTTTAAATGAGCCGAGTCATGACAAAACCAACATAGTGGGTCTGCAACCAGCATGGATCCAGACCAGCCTGTGCATCCGTGCAGTCTGATCAGGATCCATGCTGTTCGCTATCAGTTTCTCTACTTGTAATAGGGTTTGTAAGCGAACAGCATGGATCCTGATAAGACTGCGCTGATGCGCAGGCTGGTCTGGATCCATGCTGGACGACAAACCCACCATGTTGGTTTTGTCGTGACGCGGCTCAAATACATGTTTGATTGCTGAGTATAATACAATGAACATCTCTCAAAAAAATACATAAATGAGGTAGATATATAATGGAGTCAATAAGACACAAACTTTGTCAATTTTTTCCTCTCTAGAGGTAGTATAGGTAAGACACAATTAATTTTTCTGTGTACGAAGTTTTCTATCCACCATAGATGCTACGATTGCTGCTCCAAGGCCACTACCATCTTCACAAGGCACAAAGTAACACTGTAAAAATAAAATTTAGTTTAAAGTCATAGGGATAAAAAAATCAATGAATCTCTCCCCTCACTGGATCAACGTTTACTTGCATATCATCAATCTGAATTTGAGTTTGGTTGTTGTTGTTTTTTTTTTGTTTTGTTTTTTTCAGATGAATTTTGACCAAATTTCATTCAATTAGTACAAATGTATTTACTTTACTTTATTATCAAGCTTTTTGTAATTGAAAAACACTTCAAAAATCATCCCTTGAATATCAAATTATTTTCTTTTATTGCCTACAGTTTTTTATAAATATTAAACTTTTAAATCATTAAAACAAGCCTGACAATAAACACTTTCCAGGCATTTACTTAAATCTGCTCTTGTTGTAACAAGGTGACTTACATCTGTCCCTGGTTTGATTAGAGATTTTGTTTTTTCTTTCAGTACATCTCTGAACAGTTCCATGTTTTTATAAACAGACCCGTCAACTGCTATGCCAACCTTGGAATCTTCTACTCTATCCACAGTGCATGCTAACACTGTAAGAGCAAGGAACATTACCTATATATATACAATATTACATGTACTTGCAAAACTGCAATTCACTACACTTTTCTCAAGTCTTGTGACAAATTGGTATGAAAAAAGTTCATGGCAACCTGCATTATTTGAAAAGAAATTTTCAAAACATGTCATTTGAATGCATGCTGCTCATCTTATTCTCTGCAATGTGAATCCTAGATGGTTGGGTTTTACGTCGCACCAACACAGTATAGGTTATATAGCAATTTTCCAGCTTTTCTGGTGGAGGAATACCTAAGGTGCCCCTCTGTACATTATTCCAGGCATAAACAAGCACCTGAGTTGAACCACACAAGCTCCGTTAGCTAAATGAGTATCTTTCTCACATGTTGGATATAATGACACTTGCATAGAACAAACCTACAGAAGAATGGGGTTTGAAGTCAACAACATTAATTTCTCCACTATGGATGCCCAAGTCCTAGATGGAGTTGAAACAATAAACATGAGGTTTCCTGCATACAAAGTAATAACCTTGTAGGTTCAAGGCAGTCATATTATGTATTTAACTAACAATATTATGTATTTACCTAACATATTATGTATTTACCTAACAACATTGTGTATTTACCTAACAGTCAAAACAGACACAAGAAAAACGCTAAAACTTTTAGATTGTACTTCCTAAGTACTTGCTAAGCTTTTATTCTTCTCCTGACAAAATGAAACTATATTTGCTTATTTTGTTTCAGGTGTTCTATGCATAGTTGTCAATAATACATCTGTAGCTCATTTCCTCAGAATTACTTTTCACCCCATCGAAAAGCTAGGGTCACATGCCTCAGTCATAAACACTGTAATAGATCTATATATGTATAATATAGTGCAGAATCTTCTGATTTCTTTTGGCCTGGTAAAATTAAATTTGGTTTAGTATTTTTAATTTTGAAGTTTACCACTGTCTGGAAACTTTAAAGTTTACCCATTATCTGGTTAAGAATTTACATCTTTTGCATAGACTGTCAAATTAAGGTTAAGTTCAATTCAATTTTCTTTAATGTCTTGTTCCAAGCATTTTGATGTCACATCAAAGTATATGCAGATAAATTCATTAAAGACCTGGTGCTTGCTTTTACTAGTAAAAGTACAAGAGGATGCATCTTAAATTTTCAAGAACTTTTACAGCTTGAAAGTTGATGCATGACATAACCAGTAACAGCATGACAATTCTTTTTTATTATTTTTCACTATAATAATATAACGGTCATATGGCTAACTTCTTGCTGTAATGGAAAATTTCAGATTCACCTTTATACAAACGGGGCAGCCAAGCAGAACCACCAACCATCATGTAACTATGTGACTAAAGCAGATTCATTAATGCTTACATGCAGCAACAAGTTCAGCTGCCCTAATTACAACCATCTGACATATACGATAAATAAGCCTGCATTCCAATGCTGTAGGACTGGTTAAACCCTGGCTCTGTAATAGTTCTGATATTTCCTGATCTTTCCTGAAAATTATAAGACTCAACTCAATGATATAATTAAATACACCACAAAATATCTTAAATGGACTTGTCCATCTTTCAATTTGGACAATACCCCGCAAAATATCTTAAATGGACTTGTCCATCTTTCAATCTGGACATTACCCCGCAAAATATCTTAAATGGACTTGTCCATCTTTCAATCTGGACATTACCCCGCAAAATATCTTAAATGGACTTGTCCATCTTTCAATCTGGACGATACCCCACAAAATATCTTAAATGGACTTGTCCATCTTTCAATCTGGACAATACTCCACAAAATATCTTAAATGGACTTGTCCATCTTTCAATCTGGACAATACCCCCACAAAATATCTTAAATGGACTTGTCCATCTTTCAATCTGGACAATACCCCGCAAAATATCTTACATGGACCTGTCCATCTTTCAATCTGGACAATACCCCCGCAAAATATCTTAAATGGACTTGTCCATCTTTCAATCTGGACAATACCCCGCAAAATATCTTAAATGGACTTGTCCATCTTTCAATCTGGACAATACCCCGCAAAATATCTTAAATGGACTTGTCCATCTTTCAATCTGGACAATACCCCGCAAAATATCTTAAATGGACTTGTCCATCTTTCAATCTGGACAATACCCCGCAAAATATCTTAAATGGACTTGTCCATCTTTCAATCTGGACAATACCCCACAAAATATCTTAAATGGACTTGTCCATCTTTCAATCTGGACAATACCCCACAAAATATCTTAAATGGACTTGTCCATCTTTCAATCTGGACAATACCCCACAAAATATCTTAAATGGACTTGTCCATCAATACCCCACAAAATATCTTAAATGGACTTGTCCATCTTTCAATCTGGACAATACTCCACAAAATATCTTAAATGGACTTGTCCATCAATACTCCACAAAATATCTTAAATTGACTTGTCCATCTTTCTGTCTGGACAAACATTCATCATACAGGAAAATTTTCAAAATGTAACTGTAAAGCAATCAGTACAAACCATAATCAGACTGCAAAAATGTGCCAGCTGATTTTGGTCTGCACTAAGTACACAAGTTGAAACAGTTGCTGCAAACAGGCTAAATGTTAATAAATTAGTTTTTTATAGGACTTTTTAATTACTATATGCCCGAGGGCATAAAAATAAATCAAATACCATCTGCTTTTTACATTAACATTTTTTTTTAATTTTTGCAATATAATTGTATATAGTGTGTAAGGGTTTAAAAAATCATATCTTATATTATAATGTTTGGTTGTTGTTTTTTTGTATATTTTTTGTATTTTTTCTTCTTCACATTTTTGACCAATATTATCAGTTAAAAGGTAACAAGAACATGCCAACCCTAATAATTTAAGCAATAAAGAACTAAAGTGAAGGCAAATAAAAACATTTAATACATGTTTATACAAGCATCATGAATAACTTACACAAAAATTCTGCTCAAAGAAAAGTTAAATAAGGTCAGTACGTAAGAAATAGGTGAGAAAATTAACCAAAAGTAAAATTTTAAGTAAGTTCACCCTGTTAAAGGAACTCCACTGAGGTCCAAAAGCCTTAAAACAGAAAATGTGAATCTATTTCATAGATCAGGTGGAACACTTAAAACAATTAAATATATAAAGATAACTAAACAATATATTTAAAAATAAATTGAAAACACTATTTTGTGTTATTCTAAGCCAGATTAATGTGAAAAGCATTTTGGTCATTTTTACAATTAGAATAATTATTCTGGTGAAACAGAGTGAGCAAATGATCTGAAATTTTGCATATAAGATATTGGTCTAGACCTTATCAAATAAATGGAACATTAATGTTGAAAAATTATCTCCAGTCCTGTCATGCCAAGAAACCTCAGTGGAGTCCCTTTAAGCTGAAGTAAATATACTTGATATATTCAAAAATTTTTAATGAACAACTCTTATATGTATTACTTACAAAAATAATATAAGTATAAACTTACTCGAGTATGCTACAGACAAGCTCTGTGGTGAGGCCATACATTTTCTCCCATTGTTTCGGCCATGTTTTCAATATGATCAAGTCATTGTGTAGTTTCAGCAGAACTTGTCTAACAACCTCGCCAATAAACATCCCTGACAACATTCTCTCTATCCTGTAAGACCATACATGAACTTTTACATTCAAATGATTGTTACATCACACTACACTTATCAAAAGCTTGTGACATTACAGAACATTTTTCTTTTTAACAAGAGCTGTCAGTCAGGGAGTTTGCTCGTCTATTTGTTAAACAATAGCCTGGATAATTAGAATTTTTCTAATTTCAAAAGGGGTCATAACTCTTGTCAAAATCCATATAACAGTTATAGTCCTTGTACAGTGACGTCCTATAATACTCTCAAATAAGTGTGTGAAGTTTCATCGCACTCCCTCCTGTTGTTTTGAAGATACCAACTTGCAATGCAAAAACTTAACCAAAGAGGGACGCCAACGCCTGGCTGAGTACAAAAGGCCTCCCTATGCTTCAAATACTCAGCATATAAATGAATTTTGAGTTACTGAGTTTTTTCCCCATAACTTATGCAGACAAATGTGAAATAAGAAATGCTCATGCACTGGTGCCATAGCAGAAAAGCAGGTGTGTGTGTGTACAACAATGCTAAAACCATATAAGCAATGCAATACTGGCACTTTTAGAAAGTTATACATATAATTTTCATAAAACTGTAGTGTAGATTTTTACAAAGGGACATGTCAAACAAATGAACTTGATTATCTCTGATAATGCATAGGAAAATAAGGCATATAAAATTAATTTTGGAAATCATTGCTTAATTTTTGGATCTAATCAGTATATAACAAAAATTAATATCTGCATATTTTTAGCGACTTGAAAATTGATCAATTAAATATCTTATATTTAAACTGTATAAAAAATATATATGTTTTATTGATAAAAGAAATGCTAAAAACAAACCCCATGTTACAGTGTTTGGTCTCTGTAAAGATTTCCCTGTCATAGGAGGATCGTATAAAGTCTATAGATTCTTTGTCAAGTCCAAAATTATTCCATCTTGTATCCAAGGCAACATATAAGTGGAAAAAAAAATTTCATAATGATAAATGAGAACATAAGTGGGCTTTTTTTTCATTGTTAGTATATGTGTTCATATTATTGTAAGTCTACAAACATTTCATTGAAGATCATTATTGTATCATCCATAACACATACAATTTTTTTTTATTCCTTGGTATCATCAGTAAAATGTCTTAACACAAGCAGAAATAGTGACTTGGTGTGCGTTGTCGAGTAAGTTAAAAAGTTTAATATATTGTTTAGTTATCTTTATTAATCTATGGCAAAGAAGAAACATTGTTGTGGCTTGAAAATCAGTTTAAGAATTTGTGGCAATTTGAAGTTTCCATGGTTTCATGCTTCCGAAGTTTAACTGTACTAGCCTTACATTACAATATTCCTAAGATTTATGAAAATATACATGGAACAAATTGTCACTCCTTTAAATGTTTCTTAGATTAATGCATGTGTCTTATTCTTCTTCTTTTTTTAAAAAATTGCAATTTAGTAAGACATACATAAATCTCTTACAAACAAACAAACAACATAGTACTTGCTTACAATATTGCAACATACAGTAATTTAATAATAAAATAAACAAAACAAGCATTTATGAGGAGACAGCATCATGCAAGATGGAATATAGAAAAAAAAAATTAATTGCTTTTTGCTTAGCATTTTAATTTGGAAACAAAAATGACATATGTTTGCCACATGAAAACAGTCCCAACAAGAGCTGGTAGTAGGACAGAGCACTCAATTAACAGTGCTTGATAGTAAAATAAGAGCCTGGATAATAAAGGAATTAACAAAAGGGAAGATTATCATAACAGTATTACAAAAAAATGTAAAAAGGCCATAATGGCTTAGATGGCCAATAGCTAGATGGCCATAAGCCATTAAAATGCATGACTTTATTTCAGTATTGACCATAGAATATTGTAACTTAACTAACAGCAATTACTAAGTTAAATTGCATGCCAAGAGTTGTGGGCCTTGGACAATGACCTCCACTTATTATTCCTAAATTATGTTTTTAGTTTCTTGCAGATTTAAAACAAAAAGTTGTCCAAGCTCACAAAGGGCCATAATCTGGTGAAAATCCAGTGAAAGTTATGAGCCTTGGAGAGTGACCTCAAATTATGATCAAAAAGACATGCTAAGTGTCAAGTGAAATCCTTCAGCAGTTTTTTATTGGGAAACTTTTATGGAAGAACTTTTAACAAGGAATTTTCTAACTTCACAAAGGCCCATAATTCTGTCAAAATCTATGCTAGACGTATGGGTTTTTGATAATGACCTTCTCTAATGAACTTAAATAAATGTGTGAAATAACCAGCAAAATATCTGTATTGTCATTTTAGTACAAGAAATTACACCAAGAGTTATGCAGATGCTGTCGCCAACACCTGAGTAAGTAGGAGGGCCTCACAATTCCTTGAACAGGCAATGTTTAAATGGCAAAAACACCATCATCAGCAAATCACAAACAGCCGTTTGCTATTTTTACAACATATTTACCAAGCCACGCCTACAGTAAAATGTGATTTTGCAAGAAATAAAAAAAATATAAATGTAATATGCTAAAAATATGCTTAACCATACTTTCATGCCAAAAACAGAAAAAAACATGTATACCTGCAATTTAGTAACTCACACATTATTTTCTGACATACTTGATAAATTAAAAAAATTAAAAATACAATACAAAAAAGATCATTGTAAACATAATTGATAGGCGTAACTTTTTACAGCTGTACACAAAATTTTAACAATGTTTTAAAATCAAGTTATTTGAAATATTACAATTTTGTAATCTTATCAAATAGTAAGTTTTTCCGAACGCAAACTCTTCAGACAATATACAAAAAATATAAATCTTTAAAAACAATAGGGCCACCAAAGCCCTTTCAACCCCTTGTCTTAGGGAAGACTTAAATTATTTCTGCTGATGTTCAAACAAGAGTGATAATCCATTACTGCATGAGCCTTTAGTGAAAAATGGTGATTTTCAATGAAAAGTCTCCCGTTCAAATTGCTACAAAACTATAAAAACTGCTTCAATACTAATCAAACATGGCACAAATGTTGACTGGATCATTGCCTTTGTATCAACATGCCGAGTTTACAATGGCAACGAGGGGACATCTCAAAATTGCCCAAAGTCACTATTTTGCGTTGATTTTTTCCATCAAAATTGATTTCAAAGTGCTCCCACTTCTCAATGAATTGAGATAGAGTCAAGACTTTTCAGTGTTGGTTACATGTTACCTTATGATTGACCTCTCACAAGTCCAAAATTATCTTGGCAATGAAGGGGGCTGCCGCCTTACTTCAATCCCCCAAACAGAAAGGGGAACATTCCCCTTCTTGCAACCCCCTGATGTATCTTTTGGATACGGGGCAAAAAAGTGATCACTTTTTAAGACAACATTTCCCAAACAAAAACAAGTGTTGGGGGTCTTATCAAGGCATTTTTCACTATTTGAGACAACAAAAATGGGGGGGGGGGTTAAAAAGGCGTTAAAAGGTGTGTATATCTGGTAATGGGTTAACAGAAAATGATGAAAATACCTGAAGTAACACAAAATCATGTTTTTCCATGTTAAAAGGCGTTAAAAGGCGTGTATATCTGGTAATGGATTAAGTTATTTTTATCATCAATGACCTTGACTCAAGAGACCTTAAATTGACTAGTTTTTTTCTCTAGTAACAAAAACCTATTACAAACATGAACAGTGGACAACAAACTTGGCTTTATACATCTTTCTACAAAAAATTTGTCTTTTTGGCATAAGCAGGCCAACTCTACAGTATACCAAGAGACATATTTTTTGTGCTTTTATGCAGCCATGATTATATAAACATATTAAGCTTACTGATTTGTTGTTTGTCTGCACTGTCTTCTTATAATCTACACAATTCTCAATAGGTTCAAAACAGCAACCATTGGTCCCAGTACCTGTATAAATATAAGATAACAGTAATTATCATAGTTATATCAATATAAATACATTCATTAACAACTTAAAATTAAGAAATTTTACATCTACATTTGTTAACAAAAATTACTTAGCGAACACAAAAAATTACTTAGCGAACACAAATTTACTGTCAAACTTTTTGTCAAATGCACTGCAGCAGTTCCAAAATTGTCATAGCTATCAATAGTCAATTCGGGAAATACATTCTGCATTTTCTTTTTATGTTAATTGCAATTTTATTTCTTGCAAATCATAACAGAAGTCTTTCTATAGATGATAGTCCCTTAAATTGTTCATACTGAAAATTCAGTACATGTGAGCATGTTAATGTTCCCTTGCAGCATGTCAATGAATATTTTTATTTAATTATTTTTTATTGAGGTTTACATTGCACCAACACAGTACAGGTCATATGATGACTTTCTAGCTTTACTGGTGGAGGAGTGTCCTGTCCATCATTTCCATCACAAACAAGCACCTGAGTAGAATCACTGACATTCTGTGAATTGGCTAGAAAGCTTCCTCACATAAACGAATCCGAAATCCCTATCGAGATTTTAACCCCTAGCGGTAAAAGGCAAGTAGTTTATAAGCAACAACCACTCAATCACATATGATAAAAAGTTTATTATTTTTATTAACAGCTTTTTCTTGGTATGTGATTAAAGAATATTGTACTTGTGTTGTCAAATTGATTATCAAATTGATTGACCTGTTGAATAAAACAATATCATACTCGTCAGAGGCTGGCATATTATTAATTTTATTCAAGTCCTTCAATAAATTTAGTAATTACCACACACTCATTCAATATCCTCTACATATCTAATTGAAAACTAACACAACTCTTAAAAGGATAATCTAAAAATCTTACCACATATAAGTCCGACCTTACACCCCTTGTCAATAAACGCTCCACACATCAAGGTGCCAATAGTATCGTTTATTATTGCGCAGCATTTAATGTTCATGTCCTGTAACATTGTTATTAAAATTTGTACTTTGTGGTTAAGTTGTCTGCTTCTCAACCTATGATTATGGGATCGAGCCCTGCAGGGGACTTGACCATGTTTCCTTATTTGACACTGTTTCTGGATAGTTACAGCAGGCTCAAGAGTGATTAAACACTGTAAAGGTCTTCTTCATTATCAAGCAATTTCACAGATTTAAAATCTAAGCTGTCACATAATTAGAACATTAATTTTATTCAATTTTTAAAAAATGAATATACAATTGTAATTGATACGTTGGGCTTTAAAATAAGAATTTAACATATCAAATCTATTTTGAGTACAAACAAGAGCTGTTCAATGTACAAAACCCTCCACTTGTCTCAATGCTGGATAGCATAAACAAGAAGGCCAAGATGGCCCTAGGTTCCTCACACAGCTATATTAAAAATTTTAATTCTTTATTAAAACGATCTTACGCCTCTTCGTTTAATGGCATCTTCTAACAACTGCCCAACTTCCATTCCAATCACATCATCACCACGGTAATCCTTTGTCCAATTTACAAGAATAGCTTTTTCTAGGGCACTAGTTTTTATTGGAAAGGAGAAGGTGAATCCAAGCTGGATTGGCTCTGGTGTGTTCTGCAGTTTACATTCTGTCAGAAGTTGATGCAGTTTTTCTGCTATAAAATCAAACACCTGCAAAAGGGTCATATATTTTTCACTAGCCAAATTTCAGGATAAACATTTCAATATACTTTACAGATGTTTTTTCCCACTGTCAAACCATCAGCCATCCAAACATTATGTCAGGATGTGACTTCAAATGACATGATGGTAAACTTTGAATAAATTGTTTTGTTGACTTAGCATATATACATATACAATGTACATGTATGTATGTTACTATGTATTTTACTAACTACTAGCTTGAGGTAATTTGTGGTTTTCATGAGATTTAACAATTATGTATAAAATGTTACTGAATACATACAGAATAGCAAGAAACATGAATTGAGGCTTTTTTAACATAATACTTATTGCAAAATTCATTTAGATTTTGCCTTTGCTTGCATAAACTTACATGTCCCAATTCCTACAAACATCAAATAACTAAGATGTTGGTGATTAAAATAAATAATTTCTGCTTGTGCATCTTAAATTCTTTTTACATCTTTTTTTAGAAATCGCTCTAGGAACCAATAATGAAAATGTATTAATTATCAACCGCCAACGTTTTGCAGGGTTAAACCCATCTTTATCAAGGATTTTGTTGTAAATATGAGATATATAAAATAAACAGTCGACCCCTTGAAACATTGGAGGTTGATACACTTTGTGAAACAGATAAGTATTATTTTTTTCCAAATTAATTAATACAAATGCATGTCACATACATGTAACAACAATATAATGTACAATTCAGCAAAAGTAGTTATTGCTATACAATTAAACAAAACTTTAACACACATAAATTGCACATCATTTTTAGTTAATAGTTATTTTTACTTCTTATCAAAAATCTGCCTTACATTCTAATACATGTTAAAATATAAGGTTCATAATACAATATCTTCATTTCGTAGTTCAAGGAGCTTACCTGCACTCCCGAGCCAGTGTAACATTTAGCAGGAAGATCTTCTTTAATCACTTTTGCTGATGTTTTGCCATTGTGTACATCCACTAAAAGTACACGGCAACGTGTACCACCAATATCAACAGCTAGAAACTGTCCACTCTCTAAAAGAACAGGAAGTACATGTAAGTAGAAAATTAAGAATTAAAATAAAAATTTAAATATCTTTTTACTGGTTTGTATGCTCAGTATTATGATTGGGAATGACAAATAAAGAAATTGGTTTTTATCAAAAACAGATGATTTCAAATTGAATGAATGGCAATTTTCTTACACAAATATATGTTTATCACAGCAATTTTCTTACACAAATATATGATTAACTCAGCAGTAATTTTCTTACACAAATATATGATTATCACAGCAATTTTCTTACACAGATACATGTATATGTTTATCACAGCAATTTTTTTACAAAAATGTATGTTTAGCAGGCTATCAAAGTAAAATTTGAAGTCTTTCTCATAATTTATGTAATGATCTAATAAATTAATTCAAAATCCTGACAATAAATTAGTTTTGTTATACCTGTGCCATCTGGAACCTCCTCTATGTAGGAAGGATAAAGTTTGAGTGGGTTGTCAGCGTGGGTGTCTGGATGTAGCTGCAAGTTTATCTCCTCATTCAGTAGGTGTTGAACCTTCACAATTTTCTCCTCTGGTAGAAAAAATGCATCAAACAAATTCTCTTTCTGAAAATAAAAGATGCACAAATTTAAGAGTTTATCCAAAAAATAACAAGAGCCCGGTTTGAGCCGGATGATGCTCCCCAAATAGGTTTTGGACACAGGAAAGTACACCTCTTGTAGTTTCAGAGTTATGTCCGTGGAAAAAGTTCAAAGTGCAATAATTCCAAAATAAGCAAGGCAGAGTTACAGTTCTTTGCACTGCACGTCTAATCAATGTGATCTATAAACCTACAAAGTTTCTTGATGATATCTCTTATGATTTCTGAGTTATGTCCCGGACAATTCAAAAAGTAAAAATAAACAAAGGGCAATAACTCCAAAATTAGGCAAGGTAGAGTTATGATTCTTGTGCACTGCACATCTACCCATTGAGATTTATCTACCTACAAAGTTTCATGTTGATATCTCTTATAGTTTTACAGCTATGTCCTGGACAAGATTTTTCTAAAAGGGGAGATTATTCAAAAATAAGGCTTAAAAGAGTTATGGTTCTTTTGCACTGCACCTCTACTCAATGAGATCTATCTACCTACAATGTTTCATGTTGATATCTCTTATAGTTTTAGAGTTATGCCCCGGACAAGATTTTTCTATAAGGGGAGATAATTCAAAAACCAGGCAAAATAAAGTTATGGTTCTTTAACACTGCACTCCCCTCGATGCCCTCTACCACTGTATGAAGTTTCAACAAATTATCTCCAAGGGTTTTTCAAGTTATGTTCCGGACAAAGTTCAAAGTATTAAAATTAACAAAGGGCAATAACTCCAAAATTAGGATGAAAAGAGTTATTGTTCTTATGCACTGCACATCTACCCATTGAGATCTATTCACCTACAAAGTTTCATGTTGATATCTCTTATAGTTTTAGAGTTATGCCCCGGACAAGATTTTTCTATAAGGGGAGATAATTCAAAAACCGGGCAAAATAGAGTTATGGTTCTTTGACACTGCACTCCCCCTCGATGCCCTCTACCACTGTATGAAGTTTCAACAAATTATCTCCAAGGGTTTTCAAGTTATGCTCCGGACAAGACAACGGAAGGACAGACGGACGGACGGACAGACGGACAAGGCGCCGACTATATGCTCCCCGAAATTTTTCGGGGAGCATAAAAATGATCATAAAGGCGTGAATCCATGAATTTACTAGAGGGGTGGACACTGGACAACAAGAAGTATTTAATATTCCAAAAGAAGATAAAGGATTTTACCAGTATTTGTTTTCCAAGAGGTGGTCATGAGTAAATCTTTTGCGTGATTTTCACTAGTTTTTATGCGAGTTTCACTAGAAAGACCTTTAGTTTAATCACATGGGGACTTTTTTGAAAATTAAAAGAAGTTTAACTAAATGGCTCAAAAGTTGAAGCTTGTAATTGTGTATATCAACACAATGCATTGACCTTGACAAAGCTGTCGCTTTGTTTACATTGTAAATAAAGAAGAAAAAATATGGCTTTTTATTAAGGTATTAAGAACCAAGATGTCATAAAACATGGATGATTTAATTTGCGTCTTTGAATTAAAATTTTCTTTTAATGATAATTTGCTTGATACATTAATTGTTCATGATAGCTCGATACATTAATTGTTCAAAATCATGTGCAAAATACAACCTGATAATGTATCCACAGGGGATTCTGTCATTTTTTTTCCTTTTCCACTTTATATATGATAATTTATATATATCTAGATTTAATAAAATAATGACAGATTTCCCTGTGAATGTATCTATATAGTCAGATCGCAATCCGTCAACTCTTCCCGTGGTCAACTCGTCCCGTGGTCAACTCGTCACCTTTTTGGTCAACTCGTCCCCAACTTTTGGTCAACTCGTCCTCAAAGAGTCAACTCGTCCCTAAAATGGTCAACTAAAAAATGTCCCCTACTTTTGATTAACTGTCACTATTATGTTATAAATCAATGTCTTTGAATAGTTATTTTATGTTAAATCTTAATGAATTTGATTGAAATCAAATTATTAATAAAATAACGTTTTTTTTTACATGTATGCCTTTTAATGCTCTTTTATATCTAAGCACACATCCATGGCTTTGATGTAAAACTACAAAGACAGGTTAGTTTGCAAACATGTAATTAAGTGCAACTTGAATGTTTAATAAATCAAGAGTTTTAATGATAATTTAAACTAAAATGTTGTATATCTCCTTGATAATTTTACCTCCTCCCTGAATGGATTACAGACTGACGACAGATTAACAGAAATTAAGGTTGCTAAAAACTTAATGTAGGTGCGTATAATTGATCTCATTATTCAAAGATCGTGTCAATTAAAAACATGATAATACATACATGCTTTTTGTAAGAGTTAGTATTTATTTTTTATTTTATTTTCTATTTTTCAAAAAAAAATCAGTACAATGATATTTGCAGTGGATATTAACTAAACATTAAGTGATAAAGTAATAACCAAATATTCAATTACCATGTAATAATTAGTAAAGATTAATATTAAATTTCCATAAATAAATTTTTACATTGATCTTAAAGAGGAGCTGTAATAAACTGAGTTCTAGAATTTCTTGCATATAAAAGTCAACGTATCGAATAAATCAACCTTTTTTCATATATTTACCATACAGGCATACACCATCAACAGCATTTTTTTCTCTACTTTGGGAATGGTGCCGGTATCAGAGTGATTGGGAAAAAATGCGTTATTTTGACTAAAATTGGGAATTTTTTAATGCATTTTTTTCAGCTACAAATGAGATTAGACATCATGAATAAAGATAGCTAACAGCTTCTACTGTCAAAATAGAACTACTGAATGGTGATTTATATGAATATGTTGGATTTAAATGATTTTAGAAAAATCACTTGGCCTTTTGGGCATTTTGAACAGCCATTTTGGGAATTTAACATTGGAAATTGGGAATTTTAATGTCTATTTTCTATTGGGAATGGTACCGTTTTAGGGTAGTAGTTATATAAAGAAAAAAAACACTGATCAAAAACAAATTTGGCGTTTAATTGGAGAATAAAAACTTATACTAACAACCTTTGGCACGATTTGCACGCGATTTGTATAATTTCAATTTAAAGACATGCGTTTGTTAAATATATAAATACGTACGTATCCAACCACATTAAAGGCAGATATCTTTTCATGTGTCGTTAATCCTTTAATCAAATAAGCAAATTCGTTGAATTTATATCCCCCGCCGAGTACTGGTTATTATTAACACAACAACTGAAGACATAAGGCTTTCTCTATATAATAATCATGGCATAAACAGTAATATTCTTTGAACCTGATAAATATTCAGGGAAATAACAGAGCCATAACTTTGTGTTAAATAGTAATATCTGGAAATGCCAATGAGATGTATGCATACTACATAACTAATCAAGGGCCATAAATCTGAGTTATAAGTATCTGACTGGAATAAGGCGACTCAGGGCTCTACAAATTTTTTTGGAATAGAGTTGTCCCAAAATTGACCACAAGTGTCCAAGTCTCGGTAAATGTTCAGTATGCGTAGTATGTATATCCAAAGAAGAAGTAATAACAATTAATTTTTTAAAATTTTAAGTTACATTTTGTATTTCATTTAGTATAAAATAGAGCATTTTGTTTCAACTGAAATAGTTTTGATTGTTCAGCACTCTTCCCAGGTACCTTTCAGCACTGTTCAAGTTCAATAGCCTGTGTAGGCCTATATGTTTTGTTTCAGTTTTATTTTTTTTCCTGAATTTTTATCCTTGATCTTGAAAATTTAAGTAAAATTATTCTAACATGAATCTAGTTAGCCATGGCCTCTCTCAGTTTCCACATTGGACATGGTAAATAAGAAAAAGGATAAATTATACTATTTTGACTATTGTTTGTTCGAACGCGTTCATAATAGATGCTTTTTGGATATTTTAAAATTGTTTTCCACTTAGGAATTCATCAAAAAGATTAAAACAAAAAAAAATCCAAACTTGCAATTCACGGCACAAATTACTGTCTGTTTGTGTCAATATATCAACTTCAAAGACCAAGTCTGTGACTTAATAATGTTTTTGACATTTCTATAATAATGTTGGACTTTGTCTTTAAGATTTTTATCAAACATTTAGTGTCTTATCTATTTTTATTGCCTGTGGCAATGTAAAATTAATCAGCGTAGCAACTGCTGAGATTGACTGCCTCAGGCGAAGATTACCGGCGCACCATGCTGTGAACGGTCGTATTAATAAACATAATTTTACAGTTGTCCAAGATAAGCATCTGTCCAAATTTGACTTGTCCGGGACTAACTTTCTGCTTATTGTCAGTTGTCCCAAGTGGTTTTAGAGTTGTCCCGGACGTCGGACTATAGGATTTGTAGAGCCCTGCGACTATATGCACATCTCCTCTTAGTATCCCATTAAGTTTCATTGAATTCCAGCCTGTAGTTACAGAGAAGTAGCACAGAAATAATTATTGCTCTGGTTGTACACTGCCTAATTTATCAAGCCAAGGGTCATAAGTCTGACCCGAACAAGGTTACAATATGCGCATGTCCTCTTCGTATTGAATGTTCAAATAAAGTTTCATTGAATTCCAGCCAGTAGTTGCAGAGAAGTAATGAGGAAACGAATATTTTTCTATATGGATACTGCATTATAACTAATCAAGGGCCATAACTCTGAGTTAAAGTGTCTGACCCCAACAAGGCAATGATATGCCAGGCATCATCTCTTGGTATTGAAGGTTCCAATAAGGTTTCATTGAATTCCAGCCAGTAGTTGCAGAGAAGTAGAGCGGTAACAATTTTTTCTCTATATGGATAATGCATACTGCATAACTAATCAAGGGCCATAACTCTGAGTTAGAGTGTCTGACCGGAACAAGACGACGATATGCGCATCTCCTCTTGGTATTGAAGGTTCCCATAAAGTTTCATTGAATTCCAGCCAGTAGTTGCAGAAAAGTAGCGCGGAAATGATTTTTTCTCTATATGCATACTGCATAACTAATCATGGGCCATAACTCTGAGTTGGGGCGTCTGTGGCCGAGTGGTTAAGGTCGTTGACTTCAAACCACTTGCCCCTCACCGCTGTGGGTTCGAATCCCGATAAGAACTTTGGATTTTTTCATGTGAGGAAGCTATCCAGCTAGCTTACGGAACGTCGGTGGTTCTACTCAGGTGCCCGTTCGTGCCTGAAATAATGCACGGAAGGGCACCTGAGGTCTTCCTCCATCAGTAAAGCTGGAATGTCGCGATATGATCGATACTGTGTCGATGTGACGTAAAACCAAAAAATAAAAAAAAAATAAAAAATAACTCTGAGTTAAAGTGTCTGACCGGAACAAGGCAACGATATGCACATCACCTCTTGCCTTGGTATTGAAGATTCCCATAAAGTTTCGTTGAATTCAGCCAGTAGTAGCAGAAAAGTAGCGCGGAAACGTTTTTTTCTTGCATATGGCATAACCTTATCAAGGGCCATAACTCTGGGTTAAAGTGTCTGACCGGAAAAAGCTGACGATATGCGCACCATCCTACATCATACATGAAAAACAATTAATCTGATAATAGGATATAGCAGGGTCTTTCAAATAGAATGGTCTGGAAACGCACTATGTAAACCCTTCTCGCTACAATTAAACATGTCTCGGTATAACTCGGAATAGTTTGCTATAAGCAAATTATGTAAGTGTTCAAGAAAAGGGCGAAAATTAAATATAAGAGCAAAAAAAAAAATTTTTAAACAAATAGGGTGTATTAAAAAAATTTTTAAAAATTTTTGAAAAAAGTAAAAAAAATTTTTAAAGGAAATGATTTTTTTTAAAAAGGGCCAAATCTTTTGGGTTTAAAAACATAGATTGTTTGTTCAGAATATTTGCCGATAATCGGCGCCATTTTGAAAATGCACCAAATTAAACATCAAATATTTGCAAATACAGTTGAGTTCACACTAAAGGTTACACAAAGTGCACTAGGAGTGCACTAGATGTGCACTACTAGTGCACTTCAAAGTGCACTACTAGTGCACTCCATAAGTGCACTTTTGTAGTGCACCAGACCTATTATATGTATTAAGCAGTTACCTTTTATTTCAATGAATAGCAATTTGACTTTTATAAAAAGATAGATAAATACAGATATCTGTATAATAGTTTTTCATAATAAATTTGAAGTTGTGAATATTGGATTTTGTAAAATATGGCGTAAAATATTAGAACAATAATTTTTCAAAGTCATAAATTTTACTGATTTTGTACTTTAAAATTCAATTGTTAGAATAAGTAAATATAAATAATTATAACTTTAATGTTGATAAGTGCATAAATAAACAAAATTAATTAATATTTAATATGATTCTATTCTATTATAATATGGTAATGAAATATGAAACATTGAAAATGCTAATTAAACAAATTTCAGTCATTTTTTATTTATTTTTTTTTTTTGGGGGGGGGGGGCAAATTATACCAATTAGTTATTTTTCATCTTTAGTTAAAGGTAATGATTTAAAGCTTTAATAGTCTTTAATACATTAAAGAATTAATATGTTTATAATTGGCCTAAATTTTGTCAATTTTATCTAATTTTAATCTCTCTTACCTTCTCAAACTGAGAATTACCTAAGATTAATATAAAAGATATATATTATTCTGAAAATAAATATTTATATATAATGGTGGTATGTTTGTTGATTAAGTATTTTAATGTACCTGTGGGACACTAGTATACTTTAACTGACATGGATATTAACAAAAAGATTATAAAATCTTTCAATTCCATTTTTGAGACTACACCAACCAATTTTCTTTTTTTCATGCATTGTAACATAATTATGCGATATGATTATTTTTATAAGTTTATTAATATAAAACGCAAAAATATTTCAGTTTACTTTTTTTCTTTTTGTACTACCTGTATTGAAATTTATTTGCACCAACATCCAGAGAAAACAGAATTTACATTGCCTACTTATATTTATCATCTGCCTTTTGTTATTTACCCTGAGGGACTCTGTTATCAGCAGGGTACTATATTAAAACACCAATACACATTATTATGCAGAATGGCAAAAAATGTGCAAAAATGGATAAATATAGAAAATTCCGCTTTAGACACAATAATATCTAATATGTATTTATGCCATTATGATTTTTTTTCGTATTTTTTGTATATATTTTTTATGTTACAAAAATTATGGTCATTTATCTATATAACTTACTAGCCTGAGTGCCAACGACTAATGAATCCCAGGCTTATGTCTAACATGCATTTTGAGAAAACCAGCGAATTTCAATGCATACTTATAATCTGCAAAATTGACTGTTCTTTGTTATTTACCCCGAGGCCCTCTTATCAGCAGGAGAGTGGTATAATGAAAACAGTCCCTCTCAGAAAATAACAATACACAGCATGACTTGAGATTTTCCTCTTCAATAAAAGCATTCCCTTTATACATTAGATTTCTAATATTGAAGTCATGAATAAAGTTATCAAATTTATTTATTTTATGGATAATATTTTAATTATTTATATCTTTAAAACATATGCAAGCCTTACAAAGTTTAATACTAAATTATCAAAGTATATTGATAGTTTTAAAATCTATGTATTAATATTCTCTTTTAATATTGAACATGAGGAATTGTCTCTAAGTTATATATTA